AACTTCATGGGCTAGCAAAGAGCCAAGTGCCAAAATAAATACCCGACCTCAAAATAATTATTTTCAGATTTCTGCTACAAAAGTCACTTTGGAGAGACACATTGGTGGGTGAATTTCAGCATATTCTCTTTTCCTTTGTCCTTGGTTTTTGTTTCATTGATTTCTTATACCCTTAAGGCAAAAATATGAATTTGGAATGTTGGTGTTTAGCACTCCCAAGTGTCCCTCCACCACCACAGGAGCCCATTTCTAACTTGTGATACCCTTAGGAGTGTCTTCCAAGAAATGTTCTGATTTGATATCTCATCCTCTCAGAATCTCTCACTCTTTTTAAAGGAAATAGCTAGCTAACTTGCGGATATGGCTAGGCTTTGTGTCCCCACCCAAATCTCATCTTGAATTGTAATCCCCATAATCCTCATAATCCCCATGTGTCAAGGGAGAGACCAGGTGGAGGTAATTGAATCATGGGGGCAGATTTCCCCATGCTGTTCTCTTGATGGTGAGTGAATGAATTCTCATGAGATCCGATGGTTTTATACGGGGCTATTCCCCCTTCGCTTGGCATTTCTTCCTGCGGCCTTGTGAAGAAGGTGCCTTAATTCCCCTTCACCTTCTGCCACGATTGTAAGTTTACTGAGGCCTCCCCAACCACACTAAACTGTGAGTCAATTAAATCTCTTTCTTTTATAAATTACCCAGTCTCCGGTAGTTCTTTATAGCAGTATGAAAACAGACTAATACACCTGCCAAAGTTAAAGAAAAATTGATCCTACCAAGAAGGAAGATTTAGAAGAGCCAACAGTTAACTAGGAACCTCCTTCCTTGGCTAACCGTGAAGACTGTCCCCTCCTTTGTGAATTATTATTTTTATTTAATCCTAAAGATAAATACTAATAAACGAATTGAAAGATCTAGCAGGATGGCTTCCATTGGCCAGTGAGAGTGGATGAGGCATGGGAATTTTTTTTTCTGTTTTGTTGTTGTTTTTAACCTTCCCATGTGATTCCTAAGTGCAGCCAGGGTGAAGAACCACTGGTAGAGATGAACTTGACATACTGGAGAACACACTGGAGTGAAGATCACAATGAATTTGCTCCTATCAACAACTTAAAATTCCTCTGCTGAGCATATCAACAGAGGTGTTATATACACCTCTGTTAAAAAAAGGCTATATATTTCCTAATTACTGCTACTGTTGTGGAAATATTGCTTCAATCATGGTCTTCAAATATGTAAATACAAGGAAACAATTTATTCCAGACAGTTCCAGATTCAGAACATGTTATTCTTCCCAGAGCGATGACACCGATGACATCATTTTTCCTTTGAGGCTTTTACCTATCCTGCTGCTGACCCATTTATGTGCCCTTTTTTTAAGGTTTTTTTTTTTTATTATTAAGTTCTGGGATACATGTGCAGAACGTGCAGGTTTGTGACATAGGTTTACATGTGCCATGGTGGTTTGCTGCACCTATCAACCAGTCATCTAGGTTTTCTGCCCCACACGCGTTAGGTTTTTGTCTTAATGCTCTCCCTCCCCAGCCCCTCACCCCCCAACAGGCCCTGGTGTGTGATGTTTCCCTCCCTGTGTTCATGGGTTCTCTTGTTCAACTCCCACCCGAGTGAGAACATTCAGTGCTTGGTTTTCTGTTCCTGTGTCAGTTTGGTGAGAATGATGGCTTCCAGCTCCATCAATGTTCCTGCAAAGGACATGAACTCATTCTTTTTTTTATGGCTGCATAATATTCCATGGTGCATATGTGCCACATTTTCTTTATCCAGTCTATCATTGATGGGCATTTGGGTTGGTTCCAAGTCTTTGCTATTGTGACTAGTGCTGCAATAAACATACATGTGCATGTGTCTTTATAGTAGAATGATTTATAATCCTTTGGGCATATACCTAGTAATGGGATTGCTGGGTCAAATGGTATTTCTGGTTCTAGATCCTTGAGGAATTGCCACACTATCTTCCACAATGTTTGAACTAATTTACACTCCCACCAACAGTGTAAAAGCATTCCTATTTCTCCACAGCCTCTCCAGCATCTGTTGTTTCCTGACTTTTTAATAATCCCCGTTCTGACTGGCGTGAGATACTTTTTTGTATAATTCTCTACAATGTACTATTTATTAAGCACTTTGCTGCTAAAATGTCACCTCTTGCCTTTTTAAATGTTAAATTATCTAAATATATTCGTCATGCAAACAAAATATATGTTTGCAACATATTATATTAAATATATTGCAATGTTTTCCCATCAATTTTTTCTCCTATCGCATACCTACCTTTGATTAATTTGGAAAGACTTGATAAAGGTCTTACTACTCACACTGCTGCATGTAGCCCTTGCTTATTTACTTATCTGGGAAAACAGGATTTACTTCCTTTCTTAGAAAAGCCAATTTACAGATTACACTAAAATACTCCTCCTTCTGCATCCCTCAGCCTTTTAACTTGGTAAGTTTTAAGAAATTTCAACAGCAAAGTTGTTATTAAATGGGCATGATGGACTACAAGTGCCTTAAGTTACGTATATCTGCCCTAGATGTAAACTTCATTGTTTTTTGTTGGATGGTATTTTAAAAAGATATAAAATAAATTGGTATAAAGGGCAAAAAAAAAGAAAAGAAAAAGAAAAAAAGAAACTAGAATGGAAAGTTCCTGTTGGAGAGATAAGAGGGAAAGCTTATTAACAATGGAATGATGCTTTCCACACGGAGAGGAAATTTTCAATCCTATACCCAATCAAATCATCAATTAAGTCCTCCAACTTATTTCCCATTCATCCCTTCTCAGTAAGCTACTGTAGAATGTATTCTATCAAAAATAAATAATAATCCAAGTAAGAAAAAGACACGGGATACAAAAAACCGGAGACGCAACACATGACAAAGGTAAAGGGAATTCTCAGGATGACAGTGAAGGTAGATGCCAAAATGATGATCCTGCACCAGGGAAAGAAGGGCGAATGATCTGGTTGTAGGAGAGATTTCTTCCAGATGAAATTGTTAGAATTCTTGCTATCTGGAAGTCTAGAGAGATTTTAAGCAATTGGTGGAGAGCCTGTGGTAGATTTAGTGATAAGTACAAAGAAAAACAAGCAAATGACAAAAAGACAATTATTAGCTTCAGTGGTTTAAAATGCAGGCAACAGAAGGAAATGAATCATTGTCTTCCTACTACACTTAGCTCTGAATAGCAGTCATTATAATGTAAAGGCTTACTGATCTAACTATGCATTTATATTGAAAGGATGAGAAGTGTGCCCGTGTACAGTGAAAGGTCGATAAAATCAAGAAGCAGGGATACAAGCACGCTATTTAGATACAAGACGGCAAAAACCAAAACAATCAACTAAGAGTCAAAAGTGGTTGCCTCTGAGGTAGAGAAAATGGGGAGGATAAAGGCAGTGGATAGCTGTTTTTCAGAAACTTTGTAGAATAGCTGCCTTTAAAACTGTGCTTTTCAAACTGTGACTTACAATCTCTCTGGAATGATGCAGTCCAATATGGACATAAAAATAAAAATCCAGTTCCTCAATCACACTAACCACATTTTATTTTTTAACGGTCTTTTAAAATTTTTGTTAATGTTTATTTTATTTTATTTTTTTTAGAGATGGGGTCCTGTTGTTAACCAGGCTGGTCTCGAACTCCTGGCCTCAAGCAATCCTCTCATCGTGATCTTCCAAAGTGCTGGGATTACAGGCATGAGCCACCGTGCCTGGCCAACAATAACCACATTTTAAATGGTCCACAGCCACATATGGCTGGCAACTACTACAGTGGACAGTGCAGATACTGAACATTTTCAACTTCACAGAAAGTTCTTCTGAACAGCACTATTTTACAGGGTCATTAAATCAATTTAGTGAGTCACAGCCAGCATTTAAATAAATAAAATAGAATAGAATAGTGCATCTCATTAGTAGTTTTTTCACAAAATATTTTCATAAAATGTGTGTGCTCAGAATTGTGGATCACAGTAAATAGAAGTTTGGAAGCACTACTTTAAATTATGTGTGCAAAACCCTGATTAAAATTTTATAAAACATAAGGGTCAGGCACTGTGGATCACACCTGTAATCCCTCAGCCACTTTGGGTGGCTGAGGTGGGAGGATTGCTTGATGCCAGAAGTTCAAGACCAGCCTGGGCAACATAGCAAGACCCCATCTCTTAAAAAAAAAAATTTATTAGCTGGGTGTGCTGGTGCATGCCTGTAGTCTCAGCTACTTGGGACACTAAAGTGGCAGGATTGCTTGAGCCCAGGAGTTCAAGGCTGCAGTGAGCTATGATGGCACCACTGTACTCCAGCCTGGGTGACAGAGTGAGACCCTATCTCAAAACAAAAATACATTAAAAAAAAAGTCACAGACTCCTTATACCTATTAGAATCCTCAACTTCTTGTGATCCATAGCCTCATAGCCTTACGGGAAACTCAGACCCTAGAGCATCGTTTAAGAAAATAGAGCTTGGAACAGTAGTATCAGAATACTAAAGCTAGACAGGAAGGACCGTAAGGACTATCATGTTCCCTATTTCTTCTGTCATTTGTCTTTCCCTTTTTGCAAAAGGCATTTTTTAAGCTTTTTTTTTTTTTTCATTAATGGGAAGAAGAAACTAAGGCTAAGGCTAAGGTTGTGAGATTTGCCCATGGTTACGAAGCTAGTGTCAATGAGCCCAGGTTTCCTGACCTCTAAATCTAGAACATTTTTCACAAAATCTTCAGGGGCAGTCACTCCTTTAAGGCCCTGAGTGTGCTAGTCAATACTTTAAATAACCTGACTGATGACTAGTGTCTTGATACAATAATGATTATGATGATAATAATAATAGCTAACATAAGCTAATGTTCTAAACACTTCACATTTTAACTCTCACAACAGTCTTATTAGGCAGATCCTATCATCCATCAACCCGCCTTCTCCAGATGGAGAAATGCAGCTCCAAGATGCTAATTAATTTGCCGAAAATTACACAACTATTGAGTGGCAAAGCCAGGAAATAGAGCTTTTAATGCCATTTTATACACACCCTGATATAACTGAAATCAATTTCTCTCTAAAATATTAATTAGCCTAAAAGCAACAGTTATAATTTGGTAGCACCTACTAATAATCCACACAACATGAATATGTTTTGTTCCAAAATATCAATATTACAAATGGGACTATACAAGCTGGTTTAAATCCTTAATGCAATTCCATAAACCCAGAGATGAGTACTTTAAAATTATGTGTTTAAAAGTTTGGTTAATAATCTTCAAGCCTGCAGATTTTATCTCAATGCATAATGAAGTTCAAATTGGCTTGATAACATGGGTGAATTTATTTCTTAAGATTTGAGTGCAAACTTAAGAACAAACAAAGCTTTTCATCAAGAATAAACACAAAATCTAAACAATTCTATAATCATGCATTTTAACAGAAAGTACAAAAATGAATACATCATAATTTGTAACTGCATTTAAAAATTAAAATATTTCTCTCCGAATCCAAAACACCACACAATCTTTATCTGTTCTCATCTTGTTACCTTAGAAACATTTGTCATATGCTATCAGGAAAATATACGCAAGAATTACTAATCAGTTATTCACGATCAAAGAAATATTATTCTCCTTAACTATGACTTTTTGAATCATTTATCCATATTTCTGAAATGTCACACAATTATTCCTCCACTCTAGACAAAAAAAGAATAAATACAGATATCAAGGAGGCAGGAACATTCATGGAATTAAAGCAAAAGTCACAAGTGTTTGACTTAGAAATGCACATACTGTTGTAAATTTTTGAAGTACAACTTTAGTTGATGGCTGACATGTATGTAATAATTGTGACAATTTAAACAGTTATAAAAATGTGAGATCAAAATCTTTAGGCTCAAGTACTTGAAAAGTCACTATGAATATGGAAAGATTTGTTTACATAAACATGTATATTTTTATATGGAAAATCAAGGGGTAGTGGCATCTCCCTGGTCCCTTAATATTTGGATTTTCGCAAAGAATTAGCAGCACCCAACCTTAAGTGTTAATTATGTGTTTCTAAAGGACCTATATAACAGATCAGTTGGCAGTGTTCTAGCTTTCGGGAGATGGGGGCGGATTGGGGGTGCAAATATCTGAGATAAGATAGTGCATGCACTCACACCTTAAAATCACCATTCTAAATGGGGGGAAAAATCACATATTGGAAAAGTCCAAGAAACTCATTCTTAAGGGATACACAGCAGGGCAGGAATAGAAGCGGAATAATAGTCTGCCTGATAACGGTTTTTCACTCTTCAAAGCCAAGTTGGGAGGAATGAGAATTCTCACATACACATAACTTCAGGGAAAACTTTCCTAGAATTTTAACTTGCAAAACACTCAACAGAAATCTTTATAAAAACCTTCATTCTTGTTTATAATACTTGATTTTTCCCTTATTACCACCACATATATAACACTTAAGTATTTTCTTTATAAATATTTTAGAGCAAAAAGAATTTATTTTGTTGCAATGGTGGTTCACATCTGTACAAAAGAACGTAAGCAACATATATATATATATATGCATATATATAAAATGATTAAGAAAAAGTGCAAAGAATAACAGTATTAAGAATTTTTGCATTTTACAGTAACTATGTTTCAAGTGTGAATATCTATCAGGGATATATAATCCCAGGTTGTCATTAAAGATTCAAAAAGAAACCACACTCCAAGTTACTGCACAAACATCAGTGCCTTATCAAGTAACTCTGCCCTTATCCCAATTCTACTATTTCCAGTTTCTAAACTCTTTCCAAACAGGAAAAAATGATAACAGTGTTCTTCCCTTTAACTTCACAAAACTCATCCAAGTTAATCACCTGTAAGTTTGAGCAAGATATTGGGGAAGTTATTCATTATAACCCGCTTTGCTAAAATTAAAGCAAAATGAAAGGCTTTCTGAAATGCAAACTACTGACCAACAATCAAATCAGCAACAGCAAACAGACCTTAAATTACAAATGTAATTTAATACAAGTACATTTTAAAATCAATCCCTGTTATCAAAGATAAATTCAGAGTTTAAATCTCTTTCCCATGTTCAGTGATGTGTAAGAGTTCTAATTCCAAATACTTATGATTTTATCTCTTTTCTAAGAGAAAATGTTTGCCTGTTAAATTTTTATTACTTTCCTATCTTTTTGCTCTTGGTCTCAGCTTTTCAGTTTGAATAAACATAAAAAGATAATTTTCAGCATTTTACAAAATGTACTTTCCTCTTAAGTCATTCAAATAATTACAGTTATTTTTAGAACTCAAAGTTTCAAAAGAGCAGCTCAATTTCCCTTTAAATATATTACTAGATATTTTTTGGTGTTGTATATGTTGTTTTATTCTTACTTTAGGCACTGTAATTATTCACAATGTTACAATGACTCTATATCTAACCTATGCAACAATTATAATCTTAATACCTTCTAAGGTATTATTTGATTTTGTGTATTATATTACTATTGAATTCTTCCTTCAAGATAAATAGTTGGAAGAGAATTTTCAAGCTCTGCAGCACTTTTGCTTTGAGTAGTGTTAATACATATTTTCTGTCATGCTTAATATTTAAACTCCTTCTGAAATAGGAAGACAAGAGGCATTAGAAGCTGCAAATTTCCTCAAACTACATTCTACTCCAACTCCAATTTATTTTGTTCAACGGTAAATATTTTTCTTTACAAAAACAAATATATCTTAGGCTAATTTTTAAAAACAGAATTTCTGCTCTATAATAACACAGCTAAAGGGAAATAACTTTTCAATTTCAGTTGCACTAGAACTATGCAAAACTAAGTTAAAGTAAATTGGACAACAACTTTAATCACTTTTGGTTTTGTTTTCTTTTTACTGTATCTTTAGAATAATATACCTTGCTTTCTAACAGACAGCTCAACAAAGGCTTAAAACTCTAGAAGTGAAAAACCACCAGGCTACCTCCTGCACAAGTGTCAATAAAAGAGCAACATTTTATTTGCCCCCATACATTCGTTCAATGTCTTTGAGGTAATGGTTCTTCAGCTCCTTCCTTTTCAGTTTGAAAGCATCTGTTACCAAACCGGTTTCAGGGGTCCATGGCTCCGGACTTAATCGAACCTTGATTGGAATTTCAAATCGCTCCAAATTCACTGAAATTAGAAGGGAAAAGATGGGTGAAAAGGAGTGGGGGCAGGAGAGGAGAAAGGAGTGGGGACAGGGATAGAAGGGAAGAGAGAAGCAATTAATAAAATATGAATTCTTCAGGACTTACCTAGATGATTGAGGTGATGAATCACCAATCACCACAAACTTATTTAATGGTATACTATGTAGTTTATTAATGCTACCTCTGCCTTACAATTTCATTTTATATTTCTCAAAGCACACGTAAGTTCAGTTGGATAGTTTTAGTCTATGTGGTTATTATAATAAACATACATATACACATTATTTACACACACACACACCCCTTCCTCTTCAGAGATTTTATATTTGCCTGGGATGGTCTTTCTCAATACAATTGTGTGGTTCACTTCCATACTTCATCTATATGTCTGCTCAAATGCCACCTCCCCAGAGAGGACTTCCCTGATCACTCATAACAAAAGAAAAGTCCCTTTGTCTCTCCATATCTTCTTAACACTGTGCTTTGTTCAAAATACCTATCACTACCCAACATATTATATATTTGTCTTACCATGGAGCTAAAATGTAAGCTCCATAAAAGCAAGGTCTTTGATTTTTTTCACTGCCATCCATAGGGTTAGGTTGAGAGCCTTCCATAAACATATACAAGTTTATTAATTCATTCCACAGAAAATTAAGCCTGTAGACAAATATTCTTTATAAACTTTACTATATATTGAAATACAGATAAAAAAGGGATTGTGAATTTCATATCTTTAAATTGTATAAAAACTGATGCAATGAATATTGTATTTGAGTTAGACAACTCAATACATATTATAAAAATATAAGGAAGTAAGGACATAAAGGTAATTAATATAGTATTAATACTTTTAAATTCCATAAATTATATGCCATCAAGTTATTTATTATGAATACAAGGGTAATTCTTTAGATTATGGAAGCCTATTAACAGTAATGTTAATAAACAGATAAGCTTATTTTATGTGATTATTTAAAACACCAACTGCCAAGAAGCAAACATCAGCACATTCTTTAAAAATACTACTAAATAGCCTAGATGACTTGAGAAACGATTTGGTTTCAGTGGCAAGCACAAAGAACTCACATTCATGGAAGTTCTTTTCTAGTACTAGTCTACATTTTAGTGAGTTTCTCACTAAAACAACAGAAAAATATAAAGCTGAGTATGAAAAATAATCTTCCAAATATAAGTTAAAACCAACTTCCTAAAAATAATGTCTGAACAGGTAGTAAAGGAACATAAAATTTGCTTGAATTAACCATGTCTACTCTGTTAATAAAGTACAGCTCAGTTATACAGAGGTTCATAAAATAAGACTATCTGCTCCCAAGGTTACATTTGAAACTCAAGGAAACAGTTAAATTCTCAACTATAGACTTGGCTCCCTAACTTTTTGTTTCATTTTACTTTTCTTACATACATAGGTCCTAGTCCAGAAACACTGACAAAATTGGGACAAGGCAAACACATTATTTCAGTTGCACACAAACAAATGAAAGCAGGGTGATAACAATCTTTCTATTTAGTCTTTATTAAAGTCCTGCTTTAAAGCCAAAAAAATAAAGACTGCTATAGAGATTTCATCTGAAGAACTCCTAAACATTCTCTAATACCACAAGCCATAGAAAGCAATCAACAGTCACAGTTTCCTATAAATAGAATAAACTGCCAACAAGTTAGAAAGATTATGGGAAGGGAAACAAAAACGAAAACATGGCATTTTTATCTCAATTAACTAGAACATTATGAAATGTGACCAGCAGGTGGTAGCAAATATCGATTTTTATAGCCATTAGTAGTTGCTCAAATTATCCAAAACAAGTATTTTGCATTCTTATGATACTATGTATACCTCATAATTATACTTAAAATATGAAGAGGCCTGCTATGAAAGATGTATAATTTCTGACAGATTTGTTGAATACAATCAAGACTATTTTACAATTTTTTTGCATAAGTCTCTGAAATTATAATTTGAAGCAAAATGTTGGCAAGATAAATATTTTGTGGCACAAAAGGTTCCTGATTTATATATTTAGCTCATGATTAGCACTCATTATCCAACTCATGAATTAAATGCCTCACTCCAAGCACAGGAAAGTTATGAGGGCCTATTGGATCCTAGTGGGTCCTAGGATTTTATTCTGCCTTCTACCAAATTGGGACACAGCTTGACTCCCCCCATTGTTGCTTTTACACAATTAAATATGCAATGGAAAATCATTCAAGTCACATTCTAATCCATTAGTACATTCAGAGGATAACTAAGAATAACTACAGTGTAATATCAATTTATTGAAATACCATATTTAAAGAAAATATTATATTTGAAATGCTACACTTAAATACTTATTTAAAGAAAATATATTTTTGAAAATACTATATTGAAAGCAAAATCAGGGTTTGTAACAAAAGTTTGTGGGAGCCTGATGTTATTAATATAAAAGTACGTTATATCAACAATATTATAAGAAAACCATATTGAAGAAGGAAATATTATGTCACACTGTCTTTATAGGAATAAAATAAATAAGTTTTTTTCAATATGATTACGTTAAGAGGCAATTGTTATTTAAAACTTTACGGTGTCCAGAGTTCAGAAAATTGTTCCTGGGGAAAAATTAGTTTTCAGGTAGAAAAACTATCACTATAAACTATATTTTAAAATCAAAATGGTACCTAAGTAGTTAAATTTTTGATAAATAAAAATTATAGGAGCCCCATTAGGGAAATAGGTATATTCATGTATTTCTGATAGATATATGAAACCGTATCTGATAGATACGGTTCAGTTTTCCTGAGGCAGCAATTTGGTAATGAGGAAAAATAGTCTTTAAAATATATACTTTCTTGACTCAGAAAATCTGTTTCTAGGAATTCACGCTAAGAATATAATCACATAAGAAAATAATTATGAAGTATACAAGATTCATGTTATATTTGTTTATAGTGATAGGGGAAAATAGTGAAACTCACCTAAAAATCCAATAGGGACTTAAATAGCTATTTATATACTGGGACTATTTGGTATTTAAAATGATACTGTAATTTTTTTTTTTTTTTTTTTTTTGAGATGGAGTTTCACTCTTTGTTGCCCAGGCTGGAGAGCAGTGGCTCAATCTTGGCTCACTGCAACCTCCAACTCCCGGGTTCAAGCAATTCTCCTGTCTCAGCCTCCTGAGTAGCTGGGATTACAGGTGCCCACCACCACACCCAGCTAATTTTTGTATTTTTAGTAGAGATGGGGTTTCACCATGTTGGCCAGGTGGGTCTCGAACTCCTGACCCCAGGCGATCCACCTGCCTCGGCCTCCCAAGTGCAGGGATTACAGGCATGAGCTACTGCGCACAGCCAATACTGTAATTTTCTATCTATTGACAGAAAAACTTTAATGATGTTGACAGGTATATATATATATATATATACACACACACATATATATAGCAAAATGTAATCTCACCACCCAAAGATAAACTACTATCAAGTGATTTTTACTTCCTTCTTTATAATATTCTGTTGTCCAATATTTTATAACAAGTATAAATAACCTACAATCAGAAAAATGATATTTTTATTTGTAAGAGAAAAACAGTAGGTTAAAATTAGGTTAACAGCTTCCTACTAAACATGAAGAGTACATAGCTTGTTTCTGTTCTGCCTAAAACAAAATTTACATTGTTTAGAATAATTTAAAAATGAAACAGTATTAACCACAAGGCAAAAAGTGAAACAAGAGAAAAACGGCACTGAATGAGAAAATGCAACAAAAGTTTACAAGACAAAAAGCACAGGAATTAGTGGTAATTAACTTAGGGCTGAGGGAGCCAAGGCAGCTATCAACAGAAGAGGTTGCCAACAAGCAACAAACTGCCCTCACAGGACAGCCTGGGCAAGTGCCCCCTAAACCCAGTGCGTCTGAAGATAGAGATGAGAGGTAAAGCTGGAAACAAAAGCACTGGGCCCCAGCCTGTTTAGAGAATAGTTCTCCCTCACCCTGTGCTGCTCTTCCCAAAGCCGCTTGTAGACAGGTCTACTTTTTGGAAAAACTGAAGCAGAGTCTTAGGACTCAAGGACATTAGGCACAACAGAAGGAGAGAATAAGGCTGAAAACAGAAGGAATCAGTGAGGTGAGACCCACTGCTCCCTCATCCCCCCAATAACTCCTTTACGTCTTTTGGCTACCAGAATTCTGGCAGTCAGGCTAGTACCACCAGGGCAAGAGACTGGAAAAATCTCCTTTGGAGAAATAGAATGACTTAAGAGAAAAAGACACGAACATTTGAATACCTTTTCAGTGAAGCCCAGTAAGCTTTCTAAACAGTTTTTCAGTACCTGGTTCTTAAATATGGACATACGAGGATCAGCAGACACTTGGGAGGCAACGACCAAAGCAAGCATAAAGCGCAATGAGGAGGAAAAGGAGACAATAACAGAAGAAAACTACATAAAAAGGATTCCTCTTAATATCCTCAGAGGAATAAGAGACAATGCATGTCACATCCATGAAAGAGCAACAGGGTGCTAATAAAAGGAACACTGAGAGGACAGGAACAAGCTCTAGAAAATTAAAATTCTGACAGTGGAAACTGGAAATTCAGTAGTCGAAGAGATGATAAAGTTGAGACTCTGCCAGAATATAAAACAAAAAGAGAAATAGAAAATTTTAAAAAGGATAATAAAATTTGAGAATGAAAGCTAGAAGTCCAACAGCCATACAGAAATAGATGCACAGGGCAGGGGGTGAATTATGGGAAAAAAGCAAATGAACAAACAAAAGATAAAGTAACATTTCCCAGAACTAAAGGGCAGAGATCTCCAGACTGAAAAGGCCCACACCAAGTATGCACAATGATAAATGATCAAAGACCCACACTAAGATACATCATTATGAACTATGAAAATATCAGAAATTAACATGACTCTGAAAGCTAGGAGAGATAAAATAGATCATACAGAAATAAATGGGAATCAGAATGCAACACTGAAGCGGGAAGACAACAGAACCAAGTCTGTGAGTGTTCAGGAAAAATGATTTAGAATTTATCATTCTAAAATATGCCAAGACACACCTCAAGGGTAGGGACAGAATAAAAACATATTCAGACATGCAAGCACAGTCTCAAAAATTTACCGCCCATGCACCTTTCTCAGGAAGCTGCTGAAGGATGTGCTCTATCTAAACTAGCAAGTAAACAAGCAAAAAGACAGATATGAAATCCAGGAAACAGGATCCAACATAAGAGAGAAGCAAAGAAATTCCCAGGATGACAGTAAACGGAAGCCTTGGGGAGCAGATTGTCTAAATTTCAGCAGGAGGATAAAGGGCTCTAAGAAGTGTGTCTCTGAGAAAAAAAAATACAGACACGCTATCCTTTCCTGTATCAGGGAGAATTTTTACAATTCTATCAGAGTTTACAGGAAGACTGAAGAATAGGTATACAGAAAACTAATGAAGAAAGGAAATTTTAAGATCCAGGGAAAACCAAAAAATTGTCCAAGAAAGGAAATATAATCATAAAACACTATGTAGTTCAGCTGTGAATATTTTCATAGTCATAATGTAAACCTGGGTCTAAAATATAATTGTACTATATATTGGAAAAGAAAGAGTGTAGGGGGGAAGAGGAGGAGAATGGTTATAAGAAAGTTAAATCTTCAGTGGTTGGAAGTCCATAGATAATATCAGAAATGAAAAATTCAAGAAGGAGCAATATAACAATTTTCTTTAGAAAAATGGAGGCGAATGTCAGAGACTTTAACAAAACGACTAAAGTTGAAGACAGATGAGACCTGGGGAAAGAGGGATACAATATGGGCTGCTTTTGTTGCAAGTCCATAATATTGATATTTTAAAAATTATATATACTTGTTATATTGATAAAAATGAAACTTAAAAAAGGTTATAAAGACCAGGCATGGTGGCTCACGCCTGTAATCCCAGCACTTTGAGAGGCCAAGGTGGGCAGATCACGAGGTCAGGCGTTTGAGACCAGCCTGACCAACATGGTAAAACCCCATCTCTGCTAAGAATACAAAAATTGGCCAGGCGTGGTGGCGCATGCCTGTAATCCCATCTACTCAGGAGGCTGAGTCAGGAGAATTCCTTGAACCCAGGCTGCGGAGGTTGTGGTGAGCCAAGATCACGCCATTGCACTCCAGCCTAAGCGACAGAGCATGACTCCATCTCCAAAAAAAAAAAAAAAAGGTTATAAAATCAACCTACCCACGTGGAATCCCTTTTTGGTAAAAAAAGGAAAAAAAAAAAGCCTACTATTTAAGTTGAGCATTAATTTTTAATCTCTTTAATTTTCCAATAAATGTTCCAATAAGCTTTGTCAGACCTTTCTGCTAATTTAAAACTGTTGATTACTCTTTCCTGAAACTCTTAGCAGTGGTCTGCATGGGCTTTGCTCTCCTGGCATCTTGCAAATTATGCTTCCCACACACATCTCTTTCTTCATCCATTCTTTATATGCTGGTATTGTCCAGAGACCCATCCATAGCCTCCTGTTCTCCCATTACAAGCTCACCCAAGGTTGGCCCATCTACCTTCTTGGTTTCAATTATCCCTGAGTCTATACTATAGTCCAGGCCTCTCCCAATAAGATTTGGACTATACACAACCACCTGCTGGACATTTTAACTTTGACTATCCAAAAGGTGTTTCAAACTATGTGTGTCCCAAACTGACCTCATCATCTTCTTGTATATGCCGGATCTTCCTCTTGTATTTTCTAGCTCAATCAGTAGTAGTATTTACCTTGCCACTTCAGCTACAAATCTGGGGGCTAACCTAGACTTCTCTTTTCCCTTGTCTACATTATCCAATTAATCATTGAAGTATGCCAATTTTGCTTCATAAATGTTTCCTGATTCCCTGCTTCAGGCCCTCATTACTCGACACCCCCCAATCTAAGTATCTCCTACAGCCCTCTTAAACTGGCCTTCTGCCTCAGTCCAGTCTCTCTCAAATGCATCTTCAGCACGGCCTCCAGAGTGACTGCATCTATCCAAAATGCAAACCTGACCATGTCACTAACCTAGTAAAACCTGCCAATGGCTCCCCACTGCCTGTAGGATTACATCCAAATTTCTGAACACAGCATAGAAGGCACTACACAACTTGGCCTCTGCTAACCTCTACAGCCTTACCTCATACTTTATACTGTACCAGTAACGCCAGATTCCTTGTAGTTGCCGCACAGATCATCCTTTACATACCTATTTGCCTTTACTCATATTGCTTCTTAGCCTAGAATGTCCTCCCTGGTTAACTTCTAATCAACCCTTAAGAATGAGCTTAAGTGACATCTATTCCATGTCCTCCCAGGTATGTTAGGTACCCTCATCTGTGGTACCATGATTCTCTGTTCATTTCTCTATTGCTGTTAAGATTGTTTTCTCTCTTATGTGCCCCTCTCACCTGATAATGAACTACATGAGAGCAAGAAATGAGTCTTACTACTTTCTGTATTCCTAGTGTGGGACACAATTCCTGGCACATACTATATAGTCAGATGTTCTCCAATTGGTTATTAATGCATCATCTGAGATAGTCCATGTACAGAGCCAAAGTATATACACAAAGCATAATCATGGTTAAAACACTAGTTACTAAACTTAAAGTTATTAATTTCTACCTTGCAGACACAAAGTAGACTTGTATAACAGATCTACCCAAACATGGACCATTCCAAACACAGGCTAGATGATCAAAGATGTTAAAACATGCAATAAAGAACTAGGTAGATTATTCTACTATATGACACTGAAGGATTGTTCCAACATGGAAATCCATTATACATATTTAAGAAGTAGGTTTCTTAAAACCCTGTATTATATTATTAAAGTGAACATCTCGAAGAGCCTAATGCAAAAGACATTATTAGATGACTTTTAGGGACTTACTAGTCTACCAATTTCTTACTTACTGGCATTTGCAGCTTCTCGAATTTCTTTCAGTATTTCAGCTTCCATAGCAGGATTATTGCAGATATCAACCCAAGTTCCTTCTATACCTTTCTGTTGTGCCAAAAGTGTCAACCTTTTCTGATTAGGAACCACAAAACTGATCACATAGGACTGGTCACTAAAAAGATAGAAAACAAACTAGAAATGAAATCATTGAGAAAAGTTATTCATAAATTAGTCAATGAAACAGTAAAGATAATTCAAAATATATATTTCTCTTATTTATTAAAATTTCATTAGGAAATAATAAAACCCATGGTACCAACATAAAGACAGACATATAGACCAATGGAATAGAGAGCTAGAAGTAAACCCTTGTATATATGGAGAAATGATCTTTGACAAGGGTGTTAAGACCAGTCAATGAGGAAAGGACAGTCTCATCAACAAACGGTGCTAGGAAAACTGGATATCCACCTGCAGTGAATGAAGGTGGACCTTTACCTTACAATATATACAAAAATTAACTCAAGCCGGGCGCGGTGGCTCACGCCTGTAATCCCAGCACTTTGGGAGGCCGAGGCGGGTGGATCACGAGGTCAAGAGATCGAGACCATCCTTGTCAACGTGGTGAAACC